TAGAAGAATCCGCGCCTAAGTGGTTCTGAAGTCATCCAGGCTCTGCTTGGGACAAGGCGCTGGTGTTGCGCGCGCCCTCCCAACACCAAGCCGTTGCACTCCACGTCCCCACCGCAGTCGTTGCATTAGAACTGTGACTGCTGATATTTCCACGCCCCATTCCCTGAAAACTTGTGTGATACTGTGGCACCTCTTTTCTTCGTCGCCTCTCGCCCAGCTCATCCTACTCCTGGCCGTTGTTCATAGAAGCCTTCCCTTTCTTCTATATCGTTCTTTCCGGCGCAGTGGTGTGCCTGCTGTGTAGGACGAATGCTGTCAGCCCGCTAATAAGCCCTTCTATTTGCGCAAACGCCGTGAACGCGCTCTTCTTTACTTTGCCCTCTTTCCCCTGACCCACAGGGACCTCTAGAGGGCCCGCTGAGTTCCCAAGGCCACTGTGCCGACAGAGCCACCATCCCTGCGGCTCCTTAGTCCGAACCAAAGGCCGCGCGACGGGACACGCAGAAAGGCTGGGACAGCCACGAGCGAGAAAGACAGTGCGAGGCCATGCGGCCTAAACAGATCTCAGATCCCAAACATCTCCCGCACTGTCTCCAGACAGCGTTCATCGCCCCACATATGTTACCCCCCGGCATGCCATGCCCAGGTACTCGCATCCCTAGCGCGACGACTCCTGCCGCATGCTGTATCCGTCGCAGCTGCCTTGTTCGTCTTCGCACCCCCCGATATGTTTACGCATGATCGATGATTCTTTTACCCTGGGCTCAATTCCCATCCTTTTTCCCATATGAAGAGGTGTCGTTCGATCGTGTTGTTGAATTGACGGCGTTGCGATCTCCTCAATACTTGTGCCCTGCCTGATCGTACCCGCGCGAGTAATGTGGCCCATGAATGAATTTATTGCCGAGTCGTACCATTCCCCCAAAATCGGGTGTTCCTTATCGCGCAAAGCTCGGTCCTCGTCGATGTCCATCTCTTCTTTACTCCGTTTTCTACATGCGAATTGTCTGTGCCATAGGAACTGTCTGTGACCCATTGTAAATCCTAAATGCGCTACCAGTGCCGCGAAAGCATGTATCAAACCGCCAGCGCACTCCATGCCTACTCGTTCAGCTAACGACTGGCGTTGCTAAAGATCAGCCTTTCTCCGCAGATGTCGCCCGCGCTGGAGTTGCTAACAGTTAACTCTTTGCGATGGCAAACGCATGTGTGCAATCATAAATACTGTGTATCAGACTGGCTCCTGCTTCCTTCGCTCTGCGCTGCGCCGCTGCAGCGCACGCCAAATCATTATCCCTGCGTCTATCGTTCAGTCCTCCCTGTGCCAAGCATGGACGCGCTGGCGCCTGGTCTCTAATATGTATCGCTCTTTGCGCATGCATTGCATCACCCTATTGCCTCCTATTCCCTCTTTCCCGCTGTGCTTCTCCGATGCAAGCCGACGGCGATCAGTGCCAATCCAGAGGGTGAACTCTGCTTTCCTGCACAATCCGGGGACGTCGTGAAGTCTAGCCAGAAAAGCGAAAGGATTCTCTGCACTCGACACCTGTTTTGTTCCCAGCCCCGCACCTGCATCGCTGCCCACGTGGCAAGGTGATACATCGCAGGCCGCTACTTGTTCCCCGTCGTTGTCCTCCTCTTTGTTTCCCACTTGTTCCGTCCAGCCATACCATTTCCTGTAGCAGAGCCCCTCCTCGTCCTGTATATGAAACTCGAGCCGCATTGTGGTGTCTCATCTTCCTCCTCGTTCTTCTCTGCTGCCCTGATCTTCGTCTCCCCGACCTTCCTACTCAATGCTGCAAAGGGTTTACCAGATGCAACGTCGGGTCAAGTGTCAGCCAAGTTACTTCTACAGGCACCCTTCACTGTGGGTAGGCTCTTCTCTTCGCAGGTTCCCTATACTTATTACGCATGTCTTCCCTGTCCCAACCAAATGCTGCTCTGATGCCCGCGCCCTCTGGTAACTGAAGCCCGTCATCCGCTGACTTTCCAAGGCCCCTGCACACTGCTCCAGTTTGATGCCTTCTGCTCGTAGTCCTGCCTCGTGAGGGCGTTTTGCCAACTCTGTCTGCCAATCGTCACACTCCCGCCAGGTCTGTGGAAAATGATCATATGTCTTCTTTGGTCCTCTGCCACTCCGTTGGCATTCACTCCCGAGTCGGTGCGTTTCGCTGTGATTGTTTGCTTCGTGAGCTTGCCAGATTGCTTCCGCCAGCTTCGCTCTTCTCGCCTCTCGCGTGTCTCGCCTCTTCTCTGCTGTGTGTTGGAACGCCGACGTTTCTGTCAAGTCTTCGCAATGCCGCCGTATTCCTTCTGTGACTGTGCCTCAAACGTGCTCTCCCTCAGTTCTCCCCTCCTTCCCACCAGTCCTTGGCGTCTCTCCCTCAGCGCTGAGCGGCAAGATCGCCACAACTCTTTCTTGTCGGGAAGGTCTCCAGTGTTGCCGTTATCGCTGCACCTCCCCACTTTCTCCAAGCCCTGTCTGGCGCAGCAGCTGGCAATATCCGTTCCCAGTCCCCCCTTCTCGTTTCCAAGATCTTCTCCTCGCACCTGTGGAAGAACTCGCTGTGTATCTTGCCGCGCTTGATGCACTCCGTGAGCGCTTCTCTGTCTACCCCTCCCTCTGGGCGGGGGGGGGGTATCTGCTTCTGTCCTACGCCCTGAACGATCCCAAGAGGAACGTGGTCCCTACGCCTCCTGCCTTGTATCACCTGTACGTAGCCGTTTCGCTGCAGCTCTGAAGGTAACGCATCTCCTGACCACTTGCAATGCCGCCTCCGGGATTGCCACATGGTCGGTGCCCGTGGCTGTGCCCTTCGTGCTGGATGAACTTGGTCCACAATCGTAGCGCGTGGTCGCAATCGCAAACTCGTTCTGCGTACGAAACATCCTGACGTCCCTACCATGGGCGTTTAAGTTGATTTCCGCCCACGGTCCGATCGCGCGCGATCTACTTATCTCGACTCCTCCTTCTCCTCCTCGGTGAAGTCCGAGCTGACTGTTGATGCCGCCTCCACTGATGATCATCGACCTGGAAGCCACCATGTCGCAACATCTTCCCACCTACTTTAGGATCTATGCCTGGTGTTTGTTCGGATTTGCCGTGGTAGGTCGATGGGAAGTAAGTCGCACAAATGGATAAGCCGAATTCTTCAGTAGCCGCTCGTATTCCTGCAGCCCTTCCCTGCGTACCTCCTGGTGGTATGTGAATGTATGTGGGCGTGCTGGTATCAGTATGCCGTGCCGTAAAACTTTGACTCCACATGCAATCGATATACATGTCCCCTTTTTCCTCCAGCTTGTATTCCCCAACACGGCTCTGGTACGTCGTCCGTGTTGGTCCTGGTCCAGCCCACTTGGGCGCACCTGTAAGTACTACCGCGCGCCATCCTCGCAGTTCCTGGCTGATCTCCAGCCTCTCGTTCAAACTGGCGGCCAGAGGAATGCAAAACTCCATCTTCATAGTCGCTGCGAGGAGAACTATGAATCAACGACTTATCGCCATGGTGTCGCGCCCCCTGCTCCTCCCTGGCCTGCGCGAGCAATAGAGCAAGAGTCTTGTGACGGTATGTTCGGTACACTTCCTACACGGTCGATTCTCTGGTCTCGAGTGCCAACGGCGACTAGAGAAAGGGAAGAGGGGGCGGAGGATGATGAGGACGAGGAAAACGGAGCAGGAGAGGACGGAGGAAGAATAGCGAGGAAGGAGGAGACGAAGGAGGAAGGGCGAGGATAACGAGTGAGGAGTCGGAGGAGGAGTACTGGAGGATCATGAAAAGGAGGATATCAAAAAGGAATGAGGAGGAGCAGGACGAAGAAGATGATGAGACGGCGGAGCAGACGGAGGAGAAGGAGCAGAAAGAGGAGGAGGCAAGCAGGCGAGGCCCGAGGAGGAGGAGGAGGAGGAGGAGGAGGAGGAGGAGGAGGAGGAGCACGTGGCGGAGGCGGAGGCAGGACGGAGGTGGCACGCACACTGCGAAGGTGCTGCTCGATATCGTCAACAATGCCCGTCGGCAGCGACGCCCATCGTCTGCAGGGGCAACGCGGGGGGGCTCGGCACTGCCTCGCCCCGGCAACCCCGAATCCGAGTCAGAATGCGACGGTTCGAAAGCAGATGTTCACGTCTTGGCAGCGCGCACAAGGGGGTGGAGGGAGGGGGGAAGGCTTCTTAGAAGGAGGCTGCTTCTTAGAAGGCGCCGGCCCTACATCTATAGATAGGGCCCGCGCCTTCCAAGAAGCATGGGTGCTTCTAAGAAGCCCTCCCCCCTCTGCGCGTGGCTGACAGATGGGTTCGGAGAGGATGAGGTTGAAGGATCGCGCCGCATCGTC